TTGATGAGTAAATTGGCAACTAGTTATGTAATATCTTGAATGGAATAACTTCAGTCCTAATGTAAGCATAGTAAATCATTTGATATGCATTTTATCAAGGGGCGCATTCATTTGATAAATTTTTTATCAGGTGTGAAACTGTTTACATAACAGACATGATGTGATAACCATGTGGTGGTTAGTGGGATTAAGTAACAGGTAATCTTGTGTTTGTACTTATATATAAAGGTAAGATATATATCGCTGAGATTCCTACAACATATGGTTGTGGATGTAGGACCACAGTAATCATACAGGGCCTCCATTGGCCGACATTTGATAAAAGTAATTCATGCTTTATATTGATATTGTCTGCATGCTATTTAGTCATTTAATCTATAACAACAAGGAAAATATGACAATTCTTTTTTCAAAAAATCAGTCGAAACTTATTTGTAAATGGAATTTAGGTAAAGGGGAAAATGTTTACACAGTGGTGACTTCATTAAAACATTACTGAAAATCTTGTTGTTGAGAAATGTGTGTTACTGATACTAGAGAAGAACTATACATATTCCAACATTTTTTGATGATATTAGGGTTTTAGGTTCAGGCTATGTGGTGTGTATATTTTCACATGACCTGGAAGGTATTGTTTTGTTGAAAACATTTTTTCTGAGAAGATTTATCATAGTAATTCTTACTGCAGGTGTTGCAGGCACTGACTTAACCAAGTTAATTGGTTCCCAAATTGGATAAAAAAAAAACATGCATGAAGATAGTCCTGTTAAAACAAACATCATTAAAGTGTTTGTTGAATTAATTGTTTACAGTAAATCATAATTATTTGTTTACAGTACATAATCATTCTATCTCCATTTTACATGCATCTGGTTTCAAGGGAGAATGTTTTGATATATGAATGACTGATCACAGCAGCAACAGAAATGTGTAGAACTTGATAAGTTCCTTCTTTTCTCAAGCTCTGGAAATCAGTGGTCTTGTTTTAAAGCTGTCAAGGTATCACATATTTTGTTAAGTAGGACTGCTGGATATGTAGGTTTGTATAGTGGCAAGTAATGAAAATGTGTTGGAGAAATGACATCATATTCAATGACACAAACAAAAATTGTGTTTGATAAGTACATAAGTCTGTTATTATTCTGAGTCAAATTTGAATATTAAATGTTGATTTGTGCATGCAGTTTGAATATGAAAGATGGCATTGTAAGAAACTACTAGATCAAGTATAAGTGTTGTGTAGTAGACTTTGTCTCATTAAGGAGACCTATTTTTCATGTTCTGTTGTTCAAACACACCTATTGCTTTTTGCAGGGCAAATTTTTATCTAATAAAATATCTGAATGAAAATATGGTGTTTTTGTATCATTTTTGATCATCTGGTTTAAAGTTTAAGGTTGTCTTTATGAATTTTCATTTTGATGTCTATTTCAGATGATAGTTACCCCAGCACAAGTGGCCAGTTGAGTGTACGCCTCCATTTTGCATCTATCACCTGTTTGCCTTCAACGTTTTGTATTAACAATCTGGAGAACCATTAAGGCATATAAGACTATTTTCTATATGGGTATGTAGGATAGGGATATTCCACCTGAGGGGTCACAAAATATGGTAAAACCCGAGGCTTGCCGAGGGTACTTTTACCACATTTTGTGATCCCGAGGGTGGAATATCCCTATCCTACAAACCCATATAGAAAAGACTTTTTTTCTCTCATTTCTAATCTCATATTATCAAATATTTGCACTCACCTCGCGGTAGCCATCACTGGACGCCGCCATTTTTTAAGAATTCTATTTTTTTTTCTTGGGTTATATACAATAAAAAAATTGCTGAAATAGATTCTCCATCCCCGAATTTTGCAAACTGTGTTTGCGGTCGAAAACATAATATGGACTGTGAATGTAAACATCTAACGTCAGTGTTTAACTGTTTTTTCTTCAAGCGGGCCTGGTCAAATACCCTGTCAAATATGTCACCCAGAGACATGCATACGCGTTCAAATATAGTGCCTTAAAACACGCAATAAAACAACACTTTTCTTTTTAATATTTACTATTGTTCAATGTATAATATACCATAAACACATTTAACATCTTTGAACATGTTGGTCAAGTTATTAATACTACTTTACTGTCAATAGTAATCTTACAAATCTTACACATTTATGAATGGAATTCTTGGTTTGCTTGTGAGATGACGTCACTTACGTCACACATTTCGCGCCACACCGACAGGAGGAAAGTTAGTCACTGTCACTTTCAATCACACATGGACGACGGCAGAAAGGCTGAGTCCCAGGGTTGGTGATGTTGATAATTATAGAACAGTTTTGTAAATACGACCCTGCAAACAACGACTCCAATCGACTATGGGTGTTTGTGGATGAAGCGGTTGACGAGGACATAGTCGATGAGTGCGTGGGAAAAAACTATTAATTACTCCGCGCGCGAGGCTTTATTACACAAGCGCCTGTGTAATAAACGTCTATCTTGACCATGTTTATTACCCTGGACAGGCCTATCTGACACAGGTGGAAATGAGAGAATAGTGTCATCCAAGATGGAGTGAGCTAAAATGACATCCATTGCTCATTCAGCATCAAATTTTTCTTTATAACCAAGAGACCTAGAGTCAAGATATTGGACCAGTAGAATGTCTGTGAGAAGATAATTCAGCATCGCTGTTTAAACAAAGTTAGCATCCTCCAAAGTCAACCAATCATTTACACAATAAATACTAATGTCTCCAGCTGCTACAGAGATGGAGGAACACATTAATGCTAGGCAATACAATACTTTATTTACGAGTATCTGATACATGGATATTCTTGACATGTATATTCTTGTTCAAATCTGAAAATTAAATACTATAAGTATTATTGTCTTTGCTGGAATTTGAGGATGGAAAACAAAAATCTACATTAATTGTTGATCTAAGAACCTGGGGCAAAATGTGCCTTCTTGCAATAAATATCTAATTAACACAAGAGATCCCAGAGGGATCTTGGCGCCCACCATTTGAGGATCTGTTTTCAGTTCTTGAAGATTTGTTTATTTTTTGTTTGTTACAGGTGTTGTAAATGTTCATGAACTGGTCTTCATTGAATGTACTCAATGATGGCACAAGATATCTTTATTAAGCACCTATTAGCAAATATCATTTGAAAAAGATCCCAAAGTATTATTAGATAGCAGTCAGTTACAGGTGGATAATAGACAATATGCTTGTGCTGTATTACTGTCGACAACCAAGATGGCTGCCTGTGGGCCACCTTGATTTCAAATCAGTCCAAAAAAGGTACAATGCACAACTAGGGACCAAGGGGAACCTGCATATGAAATTTGTGAAAGATCCATCCAGTACTTTCCAAGAAATAGCGGTAACAAAGGTTTACTTCCAAAATCCAAGATGGCCACCTGTCGGCCATCTTGAATTCGAATCAGTCCAAAAAAGGTACAATGCACAACTAGGGACCAAGGGGAACCTGCATATGAAATTTGAGAAAGATCCATCCAGTACTTTCCAAGAAATAGCGGTAACAAACTTTTACATCCAAAATCCAAGATGGCCACCTGTCGGCCATCTAGAATTTGAATCAGTCCAAAAAAGGTACAATGCACAACTAGGGACCAAGGGAAACCTGCATATGAAATTTGAGAAAGATCCATCCAGTACTTTTCAAGAAATAGCGGTAACAAGAATTGTTTACGGATGGGCGGACGGACGGACAGACCACAGACCATGGACGCAGGGCCATTTGAATACCCCACCATCTGATGATGGTGGGCTAAAAATTCATAATTAATGAAATCATTGTAAAACAAAACATTCTTCTCTTGTATTTTGAAGACATGAGAAATTTCACAACAATAAGCACAACTACCTGTTACCATTGTTCAAAATATCAAATATATATTTTGAAAGATGTTTTGACAAATCTATTTAACTTATCCTATAGATAGCTTAAGAAGAATTGTTGATGAAATAGCTAGTACATCTGATTATGGCATTTGTATGAATCATAAATATTCTAAAATGAAATATTATAATGTCAAAATCAGAGTTTTATATACTGACAAAAAAGACGGATCCTCTTTGGTAAAGTTATGAAACTACATAATGGTCATTTCAATCTGTTGATACAAACAAAATCAAAACACAGTTAGTTCCAGGTAAATACAAAATAAAAATATTAATTTCATATAGCAATATATATGCAAGAACAAAGTCATTATTTTTGTAGAAAAAAATTATCAAATATCACAGAAAAAATCAGAATGCTGCATAAAATATGATGATTACTGTGAAAATGTCTTTTAACACATGACAAAAGATCAGACTGGATAGCACATAGATATCACCTAATCTAATTTTCTCAGACATCTACTACAGTAATAAAACTGATGTTGTCCTTGTATAGCTAATTCACTCAGAAATCTACTAATGGTGCCCAAGGACACTACCTTAATTCACAAAACACATTAAAATATGTCAGTTATATTTACCAAAACCAGCAATTATTGTAAAGACATAGTCAATAAACATTCTATATAACTATTGCCAGAATTATAACCTGTTTTTATCACCAAAAATAACATAAGTCTAAATTCTGATTCCAATTTTCTCGCCAGACAATATTCGGTGAAAGTGTTTGCTATTGATAATATATAATCATAAAATCTATTTGATATCTTTCTTATTTTTTTCTTGTGAAATTCTTTTTGTTTACCTAATGAACGTTAGAGTTTTCTACCTTCTATCAACAGTAAATCATTCTCTCAAATTATATCATTAACTAACGATCAAACTCCAAGTATATTACATTTATATCTTACTAGGTTATCTGTCTTTATGTATAAGCTCAATTCCACATAAAAGTTTAAATTTTGAAATATTATGACAGTAAAATAATACATATTATTCACAGAGATTTCTGTGATTAAACATATTTCTTCACATGAAATACTGCTTATAGAATCTAAGAAATCAAACTTTCATTTAAAATTTTGTTGCCATTTTTTTTTCTCTGTCCAGTCGTTCCTCAAGTGCTTCAATTCTGATGTCTTTCAAGTGCAGTAGATGCTCCAGACGTTCGATTTTAGCGTTGAGAATCTTCATAAAAAAAAACAAAAAAATGTAAGACAAAAGGCAGCCACATATAAATCTGATCAAAATGTGGAGTCCAAATAACAAGTAGCAAATATTACCTTCTAAAAGGATCAGAATGAAATAGCAGGAATACAGCCAGGTCACGACCTCATAGAAGAAGTAGTAAACAAACAGTAGTATGTGTGTAAGATGTACGTTTTGTGTATAATAGAATTTACACTTGTGTCTGTTTGGTTTGTGATAATCTCTATGTGTGGTGGATTACACAAGTGTATCTGTTTGGTTTGTGATAATCTCTATGTGTTGTGGATTACACATTTGTATCTGTTTGGTTTGTGATAATCTCTATGTGTTGTGGATTACACACTTGTATCTGTTTGGTTTGTGATAATCTCTATGTGTGGTGGATTACACACTTGTATCTGTTTGGTTTGTGATAATCTCTATGTGTGGTGGATTACACAAGTGTATCTGTTTGGTTTGTGATAATCTCTATGTGTGGTGGATTACACACTAGTATCTGTTTGGTTTGTGATAATCTCTATGTGTGGTGGATTACACACTTGTATCTGTTTGGTTTGTGATAATCTCTATGTGTGGTGGATTACACACTTGTATCTGTTTGGTTTGTGATAATCTCTATGTGTGGTGGATTACACACTTGTATCTGTTTGGTTTGTGATAATCTCTATGTGTGGTGGATTACACACTTGTATCTGTTTGGTTTGTGATAATCTCTATGTGTGGTGGATTACACACTTGTATCTGTTTGGTTTGTGATAATCTCTATGTGTGGTGGATTACACACTAGTATCTGTTTGGTTTGTGATAATCTCTATGTGTGGTGGATTACACACTAGTATCTGTTTGGTTTGTGATAATCTCTATGTGTGGTGGATTACACACTTGTATCTGTTTGGTTTGTGATAATCTCTATGTGTGGTGGATTACACACTTGTATCTGTTTGGTTTGTGATAATCTCTATGTGTGGTGGATTACACACTAGTATCTGTTTGGTTTGTGATAATCTCTATGTGTGGTGGATTACACACTTGTATCTGTTTGGTTTGTGATAATCTCTATGTGTGGTGGATTACACACTAGTATCTGTTTGGTTTGTGATAATCTCTATGTGTGGTGGATTACACACTAGTATCTGTTTGGTTTGTGATAATCTCTATGTGTGGTGGATTACACACTTGTATCTGTTTGGTTTGTGATAATCTCTATGTGTGGTGGATTACACACTAGTATCTGTTTGGTTTGTGATAATCTCTATGTGTGGTGGATTACACACTAGTATCTGTTTGGTTTGTGATAATCTCTATGTGTGGTGGATTACACACTTGTATCTGTTTGGTTTGTGATAATCTCTATGTGTGGTGGATTACACACTAGTATCTGTTTGGTTTGTGATAATCTCTATGTGTGGTGGATTACACACTAGTATCTGTTTGGTTTGTGATAATCTCTATGTGTGGTGGATTACACACTTGTATCTGTTTGGTTTGTGATAATCTCTATGTGTGGTGGATTACACACTAGTATCTGTTTGGTTTGTGATAATCTCTATGTGTGGTGGATTACACACTAGTATCTGTTTGGTTTGTGATAATCTCTATGTGTGGTGGATTACACACTTGTATCTGTTTGGTTTGTGATAATCTCTATGTGTGGTGGATTACACACCAGTATCTGTTTGGTTTGTGATAATCTCTGTGTGTGGTGGATAACACACCAGTATCTGTTTGGTTTGTGATAATCTCTATGTGTGGTGGATTACACACTAGTATCTGTTTGGTTTGTGATAATCTCTATGTGTGGTGGATTACACACTTGTATCTGTTTGGTTTGTGATAATCTCTATGTGTGGTGGATTACACACTTGTATCTGTTTGGTTTGTGATAATCTCTATGTGTTGTGGATTACACACTTGTATCTGTTTGGTTTGTGATAATCTCTATGTGTGGTGGATTACACACTTGTATCTGTTTGGTTTGTGATAATCTCTATGTGTGGTGGATTACACACTAGTGTCTGTTTGGTTTGTGATAATCTCTATGTGTGGTGGATTACACACCAGTATCTGTTTGGTTTGTGATAATCTCTATGTGTGGTGGATTACACAAGTGTATCTGTTTGGTTTGTGATAATCTCTATGTGTGGTGGATTACACACTAGTATCTGTTTGGTTTGTGATAATCTCTATGTGTGGTGGATTACACACTTGTATCTGTTTGGTTTGTGATAATCTCTATGTGTGGTGGATTACACAAGTGTATCTGTTTGGTTTGTGATAATCTCTATGTGTGGTGGATTACACACTTGTATCTGTTTGGTTTGTGATAATCTCTGTGTGTTGTGGATTACACACTTGTGTCTTTTTGGTTTGTGATAATCTCTATGTGTGGTGGATTACACAAGTGTATCTGTTTGGTTTGTGATAATCTCTATGTGTGGTGGATTACACAAGTGTATCTGTTTGGTTTGTGATAATCTCTATGTGTTGTGGATTACACACTTGTATCTGTTTGGTTTGTGATAATCTCTATGTGTGGTGGATTACACATTTGTATCTGTTTGGTTTGTGATAATCTCTATGTGTGGTGGATTACACACTTGTATCTGTTTGGTTTGTGATAATCTCTATGTGTTGTGGATTACACACTTGTATCTGTTTGGTTTGTGATAATCTCTATGTGTTGTGGATTACACATTTGTATCTGTTTGGTTTGTGATAATCTCTATGTGTGGTGGATTACACACTAGTATCTGTTTGGTTTGTGATAATCTCTATGTGTGGTGGATTACATACTTGTATCTGTTTGGTTTGTGATAATCTCTATGTGTGGTGGATTACACACCAGTATCTGTTTGGTTTGTGATAATCTCTATGTGTGGTGGATTACACACTTGTATCTGTTTGGTTTGTGATAATCTCTATGTGTGGTGGATTACACACCAGTATCTGTTTGGTTTGTGATAATCTCTATGTGTGGTGGATTACACACTTGTATCTGTTTGGTTTGTGATAATCTCTATGTGTTGTGGATTACACACTTGTGTCTTTTTGGTTTGTGATAATCTCTATGTGTTGTGGATTACACACTTGTATCTGTTTGGTTTGTGATAATCTCTATGTGTGGTGGATTACACACTTGTGTCTGTTTGATTTGTGATAATCTCTATGTGTGGTGGATTACACACTTGTATCTGTTTGGTTTGTGATAATCTCTATGTGTTGTGGATTACACACTTGTGTCTTTTTGGTTTGTGATAATCTCTATGTGTTGTGGATTACACACTTGTATCTGTTTGGTTTGTGATAATCTCTATGTGTGGTGGATTACACACTTGTGTCTGTCTGATTTGTGATAATCTCTATGTGTGGTGGATTACACACTTGTATCTGTTTGGTTTGTGATAATCTCTATGTGTTGTGGAGTACACACTTGTATCTGTTTGGTTTGTGATAATCTCTATGTGTGGTGGATTACACACTTGTGTCTGTTTGGTTTGTGATAATCTCTATGTGTGGCGGATTACACAGTTGTGTCTGTTTGGTTTGTGATAATCTCTGTATGGTGGATTACATACATACATGTATAGTTTGTGGTAACCTGTACATGTGATAGAATTTACACTCGTACCAGTATGGCTTCGTTCTTTGTCAAGCACTCTTGCTCCTTTAGCTGGAACATTAAGTGGGAGACGGTACTGTTCTCAGCGCCTCCACTAAAGACAGGCACCTTGGGGTGTGGTTTGCCTACGGTCGACATCTGCTGATGCACGATTGGCTCAGACCTGAACACACATTTACAAATTCAATAAATCTACATTTTACATTTAATTGAAATTATAGCACTTCAAAATTAATATTCACTGAATAAACTGAACATTCTTTCAGAAGATCAAACGAGTATCATTTCGTCTGTGATATAATTCAAGCATCATTTTTTACTCTTTTGCTGATGGTAAACACTAAGCTTATTTTACAATGGATTCACTGTAACATATACAAATATACAATATTGAGAAATGTAGATGCCAGCAGCTTTACTATTGTAAATATTTGATAATATTCATCATGATTAAAGATTTTATTCATGTGATTATCATGAAGGGAGTGAAAAAAAAATAACATAAATAAATAAATAATAATATACCAATCCAGTCGATCATTAAACTTTTCAAGGAAATAATTTGTGCTTTTTCTACCTATAAAGTGACTATGAAGTGAAGTGATTTTTGTACTCTATAATTTTGTTAGTTTGTGATCCTTTAGTCTGTATATAATGTACCAGGAGATTTGATGACTAATCAGTGATTTCTAAAAGTAAATAGCCATGCTTCTGATTAGATAGAACAGTAATATTAAATTGGATTCTCAGGAGACATTGTCAGTCCTGAAATATTAACATAGGTTTGTTAAGATTTAAACTAGCTGCCAACAGTTGTATAAACAATTGAGTAAAAAACAAGAAGTTTAAATCAAGGTTAAAGATCTATGATACTAATCACTGATTTATAGGAGTGTGTTGGTTCATTAAATTTTGTAAAAGACATGCAGCTTGGGTTTTTAACTTTAAAGCAATGATACAAAATAATGCAGCATTTTTTTTTTTTACATTATTTACCACTGAAGATTTACACATTCATGTTCTAAGCGCGATTAAAGTAGGTAATGTGGAGCAGATCATACAAGATTATTGTCATTCATGCATCTAAAATAAAGGCCTTTGGGCTGAACTCCGGCAGCTTCATGCAATTTCATTATTCTATTTAGATCAAAACATTAGTTTCAGAAAAACAAACCAGAAATGTTTACCACTGCGACAAAGACAGAATGCCATCATCAGAATGAGATTCATCCAAAGATGACTGATCACTGGTAATAAAATAATCAAATTTGTTATAATGTCCAATCCTAAACTTCTCCTGTTTCTAAACTTCTCCTCTGTATAAACAGTATGTTATATCCTTAACTTCTCTGTATAAACAGTATGTTATATCCTTAACTTCTCCTCTGTATAAACAGTATGTTATATCCTTAACTTCTCTGTATAAACAGTACATTAACTTCTCTGTATAAACAGTACATTATATCCTTAACTTCTCTGTATAAACAGTATGTTATATCCTTAACTTCTCTGTATAAACAGTACGTTATATCCTTAACTTCTCTGTATAAACAGTATCTTATATCCTTAACTTCTCTGTATAAACAGTATGTTATATCCTTAACTTCTCCTCTGTATAAACAGTATGTTATATCCTTAACTTCTCTGTATAAACAGTATGTTATATCCTTAACTTCTCCTCTGTATAAACAGTATGTTATATCCTTAACTTCTCCTCTGTATAAACAGTACGTTATATCCTTAACTTCTCTGTATAAACAGTATGTTATATCCTTAAATACTCTGTATAAACAGTATGTTATATCCTTAACTTCTCTGTATAAACAGTATGTTATATCCTTAAATACTCTGTATAAACAGTATGTTATATCCTTAACTTCTCTGTATAAACAGTATGTTATATCCTTAACTTCTCCTCTGTATAAACAGTATGTTATATCCTTAACTTCTCTGTATAAACAGTACGTTATATCCTTAACTTCTCTGTATAAACAGTATGTTATATCCTTAACTTCTCTGTATAAACAGTATGTTATATCCTTAACTTCTCTGTATAAACAGTATGTTATATCCTTAACTTCTCCTCTGTATAAACAGTACGTTATATCCTTAACTTCTCTGTATAAACAGTACGTTGTATCCTTAACTTCTCTGTATAAACAGTATGTTATATCCTTAACTTCTCTGTAAAAACAGTATGTTATATCCTTAACTACTCTGTATAAACAGTATGTTATATCCTTAACTTCTCTGTATAAACAGTATGTTATATCCTTAACTTCTCCTCTGTATAAACAGTATGTTATATCCTTAACTTCTCTGTATAAACAGTATGTTATATCCTTAACTTCTCCTCTGTATAAACAGTATGTTATATCCTTAACTTCTCTGTATAAACAGTACGTTATATCCTTAACTTCTCTGTATAAACAGTATGTTATATCCTTAACTTCTCTGTATAAACAGTACGTTATATCCTTAACTTCTCTGTATAAACAGTATGTTATATCCTTAACTTCTCCTCTGTATAAACAGTACGTTATATCCTTAACTACTCTGTATAAACAGTATGTTATATCCTTAACTTCTCTGTATAAACAGTATGTTATATCCTTAACTTCTCCTCTGTATAAACAGTATGTTATATCCTTAACTTCTCTGTATAAACAGTATGTTATATCCTTAACTTCTCTGTATAAACAGTATGTTATATCCTTAACTTCTCTGTAAAAACAGTATGTTATATCCTTAACTTCTCTGTATAAACAGTATGTTATATCCTTAACTTCTCTGTATAAACAGTATGTTATATCCTTAACTTCTCTGTATAAACAGTATGTTATATCCTTAACTTCTCCTCTGTATAAACAGTATGTTATATCCTTAACTTCTCCTCTGTATAAACAGTACGTTATATCCTTAACTTCTCTGTATAAACAGTATGTTATATCCTTAACTTCTCTGTATAAACAGTATGTTATATCCTTAACTTCTCCTCTGTATAAACAGTACGTTATATCCTTAACTTCTCTGTATAAACAGTATGTTATATCCTTAACTTCTTCTCTGTATAAACAGTACATTATATCCTTAACTTCTCTGTATAAACAGTATGTTATATCCTTAACTTCTCCTCTGTATAAACAGTATATAATATCCTTAACTTCTCTGTATAAACAGTACGTTATATCCTTAACTTCTCTGTATAAACAGTATGTTATATCCTTAACTTCTCCTCTGTATAAACAGTATGTTATATCCTTAACTTCTCCTCTGTATAAACAGTATGTTATATCCTTAACTTCTCTGTATAAACAGTACGTTATATCCTTAACTTCTCTGTATAAACAGTATGTTATATCCTTAACTTCTCCTCTGTATAAACAGTACGTTATATCCTTAACTTCTCTGTATAAACAGTACATTATATCCTTAACTTCTCTGTATAAACAGTATGTTATATCCTTAACTTCTCCTCTGTATAAACAGTATGTTATATCCTTAACTTCTCTGTATAAACAGTACGTTATATCCTTAACTTCTCCTCTGTATAAACAGTATGTTATATCCTTAACTTCTCCTCTGTATAAACAGTACGTTATATCCTTAACTTCTCTGTTATATCCTTAACTTCTCCTCTGTATAAACAGTATGTTATATCCTTAACTTCTCTGTATAAACAGTACGTTATATCCTTAACTTCTCTGTATAAACAGTATGTTATATGTATAAACAGTATGTTATATGCTAAACTTTTCTGTGTAAACAACATGTTATTATCCTAAATAGCTGTTATTCATTCTCCCTGTGTAAACAACATGCTATTTATCCTTAAGAGTCTTTGATTATGACAAGTAATTTAATTATAACATATATTTGTTGAGGATTTCATTGATATTGCAACAACCAGGAAATACAGAAACAATGTGTATGTCTGAGAAGATTGAGGCTACTATTGGTGACCAACTGGTGTGATATTTTCAGTCTGGTCCACTCTAGGATTTTCTAGGGCTAGATGGGTAGTTTTTGTTAGTACATTTACATGTGTATTATAGTGGGATCATAACAAATACAAGCAATTGGGAAAAAGTCAAACAACTTCAACCTTCATCACAAAATAAACATGACACACAACATGTTATAACACAGAATAGCAGTAACATAACAAATACTATTGGAAATGTGACAAAACACCAATCCATGTTCAAAAATACAATACTACTAGTGATTCATGGTAAATTCACTTCATTCTGCAAGTGAAAATAACAACAAAATTCTAACACATAAAAAATCTTCATTCAAACTCAAAACTGATTAAAAGAAGGTATGAAGAAAACAAAAATTTATATGGATATCCTTCCAAAGCTACAAAGAGACTAAGAAGGATATCAGCATCTTCTGCTTCACTGAAGACACTAATTCCATGTAAATCTTAGTCAATCTAAGTAAATAGGGTTACATTCTCAAATGAGAACTAGGTAAACAGTAATGAAACCACCAAGTGTAGTCTGAGCATTGAACACATCTAACTTAACATTGTACATAAAACTTGAATATTTCCACATAGGACCCTGGCAATTACTGCAAAAGTTGGTAATTAAATCACCTTAAGTCACTTCCATCCATATTTGATTCTACCATACCTTGGTGTTGAGAAAAAGATTTTTGAAAATTAAGTTAATTTGACCCCTTCTTGGCCCCACCACTCAGCCTTTGGAGGTTAGTTAAGATCAATATGGGCATATCATCAAGTTTTCATTTTGAGTTTGAAATCTTTCCAATGGAAATTAAAAAACAAGAGGCCCACAGGCCTTTAGGGTCATTTGACTATAAAGACCTATATATATGAAAAGGCCAATCAGGCCTACATAAATTGCTCAACTAAACTACAGCTTACTTAGAAGACAATGGTTGGTTCATAAAGATTTTTTCTGCAAACTTGAAGTCAAATTCTTTTAACCTGATCGTTGCATTACACAAATGCTATTACTGCAGACAAATTGTTTGTTGAAAAAGCATGCTACAGGCCCAAGATCCTCCGCCTTTCAGTTATTGAGAAGTTGGTCATGCATTTCAACACATTTGACTCCTGTGACCTTGACAAGGTGAACAAACCTGGTAGCTCTTTATCCCAGTATGCTACATGCCCAATATCAACACCAT